CTCTTATCTCCTGGTCCAAGAAAAACTTTTAATTCCCTATCCCCAAAATATGATCAGTTTCTCCCCTTCCCTAGCTCAGCATTAACTTACACACATTAGATTCTCCCCAATTCAAGCCCTCCAAATCAAAGGCTATTTTTACTTATCTTTGTGATCTTGGAATTTAGACAAGCCAGGAATAAAACAACAAAATATATGAATGCTGAGTTCTGAATTAAAACTGAAGGAATACAGTTACCGTTATATTCCTTAAGACATATTTCATGCCACTTTTTCCAAGAGTGGTAATGATTTTGTCCTGACTCATTCCACTGTATTTTGGATGAATTCCCAGATTTCTGAGTCCCAGCACACCAGTTTTTTTTAAACCTTACTGTCCTCTTCACCAGGAATTCTACAAACAGCTGCCATCCAGTAACCAGTGAAACTCATATCTGCTTACTTAATGGTGCAAAATTAGCTCAAAGATGTACAAAGGCTTATAAAACACTGCCTTCTTGCAACACAGAGACAGGTGCAGTGTATATATAGAATCCGAAAAGGGAGGGGACTCTTGACCTGCCACACTACCTCACCAGAGGGGGAAGCAAATATCCATTCCATTTTTCAGCAACAAAGGTACATGAGCACTGGATCCTTGTCAATTGCACTGCCAGCAATTTTTGCACATTTCTCAGACATCTCTTTCTAGGCTTCAAGAAGTCCAACTCCCTCCTTGTTTTCAGATACTGATCTGAAGACCAGCTGTCATCCAGATGTTAGTGAATCAACTCTGCCCTGTGGCAAGTCACTGTGGTACTTGCCCAATATTTGAACTGAATCTTAATATGTGTTGGGTAGCTCAGACAAGCTTAACTCTTCATTTCCTAACAGTCTAGGCTTCTGTTCAAATTAACTAGCTCACAAGTCTTATGAGACTTAACATCTCACTAAACCTTGGTTTTCTGTCTATATTAATATTATATTATCATGTCCAAATCATAGGTTGTTATTAAGAAGAAAAAAATAACAGCAGGCACAGTGACAAGAATTCCTTGGGGAATCGTAGTACATGGAACATACATACTTGGTGCAGGAGGGAGTAGTAGGAAATGCCACATTCAATAAGACAAGAATTTAGTCAGTCAACCATGCTAATTGAACAGTTACTCTGTGCCAGGCAATGGGAATAGAAGACAAAAAAAAACTGACAGTGATGGGCAGACACACACAAAAGCAAGCAATGACAATTCAACATAATTAGGGCCATAGCAGAGATGGCTTCAAGGTAGTGGGAGCTCAACCCTGTCGGGGCTTTCCAGGAGAGGAAACTTCTGAAGATCAGTTGGTGAAGGTGTCCCAGGAAACTAGACAGCAGAGCAGGAAGAACAATGACTTGATCCCAGGTGTAGGAAGCACAGTGATTGAGAACTCATGTTCTGGAATCAGAGAGACCCTGGATTTCTACCTTAGCATTTCAACTCACCATGTAGGTCACTGAAAACAAGTTTCTTAACATCTTC